TGTGTTTCTTTCTTACCTTTTCTGTCTTTCTTTCCTTCTCAAACAGTAAGCCTAGTACCAGGAGAGGAACAGGACGCATTTCAGTGAACACAAGGGCAGGTTCTCAGTTCCACGGCATTTTATTTTTGAGTTTGTGCAAGGTAGAGACAAATTTGGCACCAAAAAAGTGGCTTTTTTAATGGGAGAAAGCTTTCAGTTTTTGATGAGTTGGTTAAGCATATTCCTTTATATTAATATTATCAGGAATTATCATTATTTCTATAACTTCATACTAGATTGATTTTTGGAGGTTTTCCAGTATAAGATCATATAATCTAAAATACTAAGAACTTGTATATTTGTCAACTTTTTTTTTCTTTTTGCCTGCAGTCTTAACAATAACAGAACACCATTAAATAAAATAGATAACAGAGCACTCTTGTCTCAGTTCCCACCCCTTTTTTTCTTTATTCAGGGTAGAGCATGAATGCAGTCCCCACGACCACAAATTGTGCAGGCAAGTTTCCCGCACGTGGGGAAATCACAGGGGCCATCTCATCAGGGTGCAGCGCTGAGCCTCCCCTGGGAAAACCACCACCACGATCACGTATGTCTCCTGCCAGGCAAGTAGCTTGTCTTATTCCCTATAATAAATGAACATTTTCTACAATTTTATTTAAAACTATGATGATAATTTAGGCTCTCTCACTAATGTATCTACATCTTCCTGTTTGATTAGGATTTTTTTGTCAGAAACTAGTTTAATGAAATTAAACATCATCAATATGGAAATAATAAAATCACTGATGTTAGTACTAGGTAATGTGATGAATAATGTTAACAGACACCTTTATATTGGGGTAAGGCTCTCAGTTTGAGATGAATACCAAAATGTATCATTTTGGTACAGTATATTTTCTTTTCATTTGAACAAAAATTAATATAAAAATAAAAATGGAAGGGCCAGTCAAATATCTCAGTGGATTAAAGCCCATGCAAGCAGGCACAGAAGCTGGGGTTCGATCCCTGGACCTGTCGTGCTGGCCCCGCCCCCAGGACTCCCTGAGACTGCAATTGAGACTGTGGACAGTAGCATGTGCTTGTAATCCCAGCTCTTGTAGGTTGTGAACAGGCGGATCATTGTGAGTCCGATCCAATAGTGAGACCCTGAATATCCTGTAGGCCCTTCCCCAAAATGCAAAATCATCATAATAATAATTAATAATAATAATAATGATAATGGAAAACAATATAACAACATAAGGGGTATAGGTATCACTTCTAATAAATTTCAGTTGATTTCACATGGTTTAATATTTAAACACACATATAGATGAAGTTTTCATTTCATGTCATTCCTAATTCCCCTTCATTTTTCTCTGTAGAACATATTATTATAATCATTCTAATATAATCATTCCAAATTATCTTTGTCCTTTTATTACATTTTTGCCACAAATGCACACATCTATGGAATTCTGTTGTGTAGCTTAACAAACACAAAATAATCATTCACTATGAGTCTTAATGTGATGGACATTTTAGAATATTATCTTCCTTTTTAATTTAGGGACTTGCTTCTTAGCGAACCTTAGCTTTATTTGAAGGATAAATATTTGATGGTGATATCCATCAATATGGTGATACAGTATTTTTATCTAAAATATTCCTTACACCAACTACTTTTTTGTGCTTGTTTTGATACCCGAACATCTGATGGCAAACCATATGATTTCTTATATGTCCATGGGAGATTCTTTGTTCGTTCATAATTCATAGAGCCACAACTAAGCCTTGTGGTTGCAGCTGGCAAAATGGCCCCAGATTCTATGGTCAGTACTCATGCATGCAGCCTGCCTCCGTTTCTTGTCCTCTCAGAAATAGGTTGAATGGGCAGTTGCTCCTAAATTCCATTTGTTGAGTCCTCTTCACATTCACCCATCTTTGTTTCTAATTAAGCCTCAAATCATGGTTTAGTAAGGTCATGTCTGTGTGTTTGGAGCAAGGTTTGTGAATACAGCCCACACATCTTGCTGAGGGGGAAATCTTCGGCAGGAAGGACTGTGCTGCTTCTGGCTCCCAGGAGACTCCCCTTGGTTTTCAAGGAAATAACTTCATCACCATTATATTCTATGCTGTGTTCTTTTTTGGTTTGAGCACTAACAATGAGGGCTACCCCTCCACAGACTACTTTTGGCCAAGCCAATATCATCAAGCCTCTCTACCTTCACCACACACTCTCTGTTTCTCTCATATGAACTGGCACTGAGTGTTGCTGCAGGAGTTCAACCAGATACTAGACCTGACACTTTGATTGTCTCTGTCCCTGGCGTCTCCTGCAATGCTTCAGTACTCAGGGAATCAAACCAGATGTGTTGTCTCCCCGAAGATGTCATTCTGTTTTACTCTTGTCGGTTGCTTCCTTTTGCTTTGTTCTTGCAGTACATTCAGGTATGTTTAAGCCAAAGGGGAAGAAAACAGTATATTTCCTACCCCATTTTCAACTTGAATTAGTTAGGCTGCTTTCAAAGCCAGTATTATGTAAACACAAACACACATAGGTATGCATGCACTTGCCTATATACAGAGTCAATGGAGTGACATATTTTGGATTGTAGAAAGCATGGTGTTAGAATTTCTGGCTCTTTCTCCACACAATTTCCCCTGTGATGCTTTCCTTTGAATATTTTCCATTTTCTTAGTTTAAAAAGTATATCTCTTGCTAAAAATAAATATTTAAAGTAGTACTTTATTTTATGTCTCATATTTACAAAATGTAATGCCTAGTCATTTTAGAAAAATGTGAGAAAGTACAGTAACCTAACAGATGGAATAAACCATCTTAATATTGATAATACTTTTCTCAAAATATTGTCAACATTTTCTCTCAAGGAGAAAGTTTGAAGCAACATGTTTTGAATATAATTTTAGTCCCCAAATGGAATTTCTTTTTAACAAGTAGCATAGCTCATGATTATTTATCTCTTATAAAAATGTAATGAATAACATTTGTTATTCATCATATTTGTCATTTTTAATTAGGTACCCTTAAAAGCACAGAATATTTTATTAGAAAAGTTAGCAAAATAAAAATGAATGCACTGAGAATAATAAATCATGAGCTTCAAGTCCAAAAAGCTAAATCAATTCTGATGATGGAACAACACACTAAGACACTGTGACTCAGAAACAGATTATCTGCCCCTTGGTGACGTAACACGCACCAACACTCATACATAAGGCAGACGGCTTCTCTTTCCATCATGACATCCGGGCTCTCTTCTGGAAGACCTGAAAGATGGACCGCAGTCATCTGAAGTCTCATTGGCACGCTGATCAGGGAGTTTTGCATGAGCTTCAGCTGCAGGTCTCTGTCCTTCCCAAGTGGGTCTCTCCATGTGGCCTGTCTCTATCCACAAGCATGGGAGTGGCTGAGATCCAGGGAAAACTAATAAAGCAAGAAATACCATATTTTTTTAAAATTTGGGATCAGAAATTATGCAGCAACCTCTATGACATTCTATTTGTCAGCATGATCACAAACTACAACCTTGGGAAAGTTTGTGGGTATAGAATAGAGTACAGTTCTTAATTAAGAGTAGCTGCGTTCTGGAAGAGTGAGATTTGAAATACTGCTATCACTATTGCTGTTTTAGGAAAATAAATCCCCCAGTGATAAAGGTTGACAATCCAGTCTTCTAAGAGCAATTGTTCCACTGAGGGACAATGATTCCTTTCCCTCAAGGGTGTTACTGATTGCTACCGTGAGATCACTTGGACTTTGAGAAAAATGACAGGATTTCTCCATTCTCTTCATTCTCTCTGAGATTTATAAGTTTCCTAATCCCTCCTTGACCTAGAATGAGGGAGGCTGCCAATGGAGCTCTCTCGCGGTCTGAGATTTGAGGACAGAGATAACATTAGCTGAGTAGGAGATTAACTACTCCCAGACCTACGGTCATTCAAATTCTGTCTTTACTCCATTCACCTGTTACTATCTGCTTTGCTGAGCCCAGAAAAAACTGATCCATTCATTCTATATATATTATGTAGCAAGAGAACTGAATTTTTTCTCACTATGCAATTTCACAAGTGTAAAATGAAGAATGTTCAATATAAAAACTCAAATGTACATAAACAAATTGGTATCAAAAAATTTAGTGAAGGTTTAAGGTTTTTAAAAAATGACTACTGTAAAAGTCACAATGCCCTTAACTGCCCTCAGGACATTCCATTTTACCTAATGCATAATTAGACCATCATTTTTGCCACTTTCTGGGGCCATGCTGGCATTCTTCATTCCTGTTTTTACAAGTAATCAGTGGCTGGGGATATAGTTCAGCTGTATAAGCGCCTTCCTGGCAAGTGCAAGATCCTGAGTTTGATCCCCATTACCCAAAAAAATAAAAAATAAAAAATCTCTACAAGGAATCAGAGCTCCATGGGAACGCGGCCTCCAAATTCCATCCAATCAGAAAGCAGGCTTATAATACGTCATCATCCTTTCTCACCAGCTCCGGCACCAAGGAATTTCTGGCTCTTCCCCAAAGTGAAAGTGCTCATGAAAGGTAAACATTTTGAGTTGATTCAGGACACAAGAGCAGCAGTGAGAGAGCAACTAAGGGTCTTCATGAACGAGAATTCTAGAAATGCATAGGAAAGGGGCACGGATGATAAGCTAAGGGTCTTCAAGTAAGGGGAACTATTTTCGATAGAGATGTCACAGGCAATTATATCCACAGTCTAAAAGCAAATTTTAGCTATTCAGAAATATCTCACTACAAGAGGAATTTCGAAAATTAACTTAGCAAAATAAGCAAATTATAAAAGAATAAATATAACATATGCTTTATGTCAATCAGTGAAAAAAATATTTAAGTGCTCAACGAAGTGGCCAGTGCGTGATTTACACAGAATATTGTTAGTAAGTGGATAAAAGAGAATACTTATGCTGTATATTTTCAATTTTAGCAATTTTATGAAACAAGACACATTTAATGTTTAAAAGCAGACCTGTCTTACAAGTTCAGTAGACCATGTAGCAGCATGTATTTAATGTCACCTTGTATACAGTTCAGTCATGCATAATGGCTGTCAGTGGTTTGGACAGAAAAATGTAGAGGTTCCTAAGAAATAATATATCATTGATGTTCTCTAGCTCAGAGGGCGACTTTGTATTACACAGAGCAACAAAGACCCAAGTATCTATATCTTTGAATAAAGATATAAATTGAAGGATAAGATTCTGAGGGTAACAAAAAATAAATAAATTGTTTGAAAAAGTTATAATTGAAAGAGACATTGAAATATATTTTCAGAAAAACCCTCAGGAGACTCATATAATACCTCAATAGACAAAATATTTTAAAATGAAGCTATTAAAAACAAAAAGACTAAAAGGATACATTGTTCTTATAGAATAGAAGAAATGGACTGGACTGATTAGAGGCCAATATGAGTAACTTGATCCCACATATACAGAAAATAATTTTAGTCATAAAATAGACCTATGAGAATATAAAAAATAATATTTCTTGAGATAGTTATAGATTTTAGGTTTATAAATTTAAGATAAAGGCATTTGAATGAGATATTGAAACATTTCACTATGCTTCATAAAGAAAACATCAA